AAGGGAAAGATCAACTTAGCTCAAATAATGGATGTCATGGGCGTTTGCAATGGTGACTTCTAGCATAAAAAGAATTCCCTTAAGTGGTAGTAAATGGGCCCCATCAATCACCTAAAAACAAAACAAAACAAAGGCAGCAACCTGGAAGCTCTGAGATCCTGTCACCTGGGAGGTTACTCTATCCATATTGGGTGTCCTAACTACACGAACACTTGGCCCATCCCCATAAGAAACCTGGGACAGGTAGCACTATACCCACTTTCACTTGAATCCATATCTTGCAATTTTTTTAACTATTCATTCATTCAGAGATGAGGTACAAGCCAGAGATGCAGGATAAGTGAGAGGATTTACCAGAGACAGTGGGGAAAAGAACAGTTAGAGCAATGAAGTACACTGCTGAGAGGAGCAGTGGGCAGGTCAGGAGAGGTCTGCCCCCATGTGGATCACCTCCGGGGCAGGGGATCAAACTTGCACTGAAGCAGCTGCAGCTCATTTGCAGTGCTGTGTCCTAACCCGTTGTGCCACCAGCGAGGCTTCTGGCAACTAAAAAAAAAAAAAAAAAACTGCTTCTCTGGCCCTCCTTGGTGGTGCATCGGGTTAAAACACAGCACTGAGAGGGTGGAGCCACTTCAGTATGAGTTCGATCCCCGCCTGCCCCGAAGATGGTCCACATGGTGCCGCAGAGTGCTTCTGACCCGCACTGCTCCCCTCAGCAGCGTACGTCGTCGATTTTCCTGTTCTGCTCCCACTCTGTCTCTGGTGAATCCTCTCACCGCCCCTGCACCTCTGGCCTGCACCCCAGTTCTGTATGAGTAAATGAATCTTAAAAAAACAAACAAACAAAAAAAAAAAAACCTGCTCATCTGCTGCTTTAGTAATTAACCAAGTAAAAATAACTTAAACTGAATCCAAGATACCATTCTCTCCAATGACACAGATATTTTTTTAAACTGAATAGAGTTGGGGAAACTGAAAGGGAAAACAAAGCATTCTTTGAAGATATCCCTGAAGACAAAAGTGAAAAAGCATGAGTGTGAGATCAAGGTAAGAAAAGAAAGACTGATTCATTAAAAAGGAGCAACCCTTTCATTAATTCTTAAATGTTGCCACAGAGCCATTAAAACCTTAATAAAAACAATTTTGATGAAGAGAGTATGGGGTATGAGTACAAAAGAAAGAATCTTGACTGTGAAGTAGAATATGGAGTAGAAATAAGAAGTAATTTGGTAAAGAGAAGTATAATTTGTAGAGTAATGTTACAAAACCTTGTAAATATACAACTGTATAATATTTTAAGCTCTCTATATAGTTTTATAATAACTACACATGTGGTATAATGTCCAAAGGCTTTAACCCTTATCTTTCCCCACTTGAAAGTGGAGATAATAGTAACTGCCCCAAATGTTATGTGAATCCCATTAGGTGATGGCAGGTATGGCCCTCTGCCCACATATAGTTAGTGCTCAATCTGGGCAGCTCTCATGTTAACAAGCTTTGTGCTGCAGTCTCTGAAGCTCAGGAAGCTTAGTCCTCAGGCAGGCAGGCTATTAAGCCACTACTACTAAACAGTTCTGTACAGGTAGATGCTGTGAACAGAATTTTTAGTAGAAAGAAAGAAAACAATATGGCTCTCATATAGGTTAGCATCTACTAGAAATATTAAACATACCACATGATACAAATAATTAAATATTTTCAAAGTAGTCTGAAGTCTCATTCATATATTATCTCCTTTGACATTCATTAAGCCAACAAGGAAGTAAAACTGTCATCCCTTCACAGCATTGACTTTCTAGCATATTCCTATTCCTATTCCTCAGGTGTGCAAAGTTTTTGCCCTTGGTATGACCTTTACCATGTAATAAGATCATATGTATATTAATACCTATCAGGCTCCCATTTTCCCAAAATCAAGTATGCAGGCCCACAGCTGAACACAAAAGGTACTATGTATCCCTATGTATCCCAGATTCCAAACCTGGAATGTTTCCAGTTACATCTCTTCAAGGTGAGAGGTACTAGGTAAGTCAAAGCTATTCTACCACCATGCACCAATCCTACCACCAACACTTACACACCTCCCAATATAAAAAGAGGACGAGGCAAAAAGAAATGGCCTGGGGAAAAGAACAGTATTCTAAAAGGACACCTTTACATCTAAGTAAAAAATAAGTCTCAGAAAGCCACAAAATTCAAAAGGTAGTAATCTTCTTACACAAATATTGTTGAACAATTGGGAGAACAGTGTTCTTGATTCTGCTGAGATTAAAGAAATGGGCTGGGGCCCTTCTTGGTGGTGCAATGGGTTAAAGCAGCACTATGAAGCTATCCAAAGCCACTGTTGCCTGAGTTCGATCCCCTGCCAGGGAGGTGACCCACGTGGTGCAGTAGACCTCTCCTGACCCACCTGCTGCTCCCCTCACCAGTATATTTCAGTCAATCTGCACGTTGTGCTCCCTACTCTGGTGAATCCTCTCACCCCCTTCACCTCTGGCCTGTACCCCAGTTCTTCTATGCTTAAATAGATCTTTAAAAAATAATAAGGATGAAATAGACAGGAGAGAGAAGGAAAGACAGATTTGCCAGTACGGCTACCTTCAAACTTCAAAGATATCATGAAATTTGATACAATAAGTGCAGAATTCTAACTGACTGATTAGAATTGTAGATGGTAGCTAGGTTATCCCATGCCCAAAAATTGTGCAGAGAAAAGAGCCTTGTTGCACCATCTACAAAACTAAAGAGAACTAGCTTTCAGACATCTACCAACTTGAGAGAGTCTGGAACCACCCCACATTAGGCCAGTCTCATGAAGAGTGACTGGTTCTCCCCCACTCCTCCAGCTCAAGACCAAAGAGAAGACCACAGGGAAAATGGAGAAGCAATTATT